CCGCCGTTGCCGTCGGGACTTTATCGATTTTGACGAAGCACAAAGGCTTCGGGATGGGATCGGGTTAATTGAGAAACTTGAAAATTTGAATATGCTCGTCAAGACAAATGGAGAGGATGGAAGGCCGAGCAAAAGAGAAAGATAAAGACGGGCAAAGTGTGAATTCTCGATTAGCATGGGACGTTTGCGTTTTAGTTAACCGAACTTGGGATCGTTTCTCTGTTCGACGTCTGTCTATCATCAGCAAACACGCTGCAAACCATCTAGAGTTTCTCTCTGTCCCTTTCTGATCGGTTTTAATGGTGATATCCCATCTTTTGTTTCTCGTTTCATCCCTAAGTAACAAAATTGGTATAATTCGTAAGTTAAATATCTTATTACACGATTTGATAGATGGGTGGTTTTCAATTGTACGGTCGTGATTTTACGGGTATAATTTTCAACGAATAACGGTGGAAACCGTATAACGGCGTCGTTTGTTTTTCGCGGTAATCCGAGGTGTGACGCGACGCTGCTGGCGCAAAACGATAGTGAAACGTGAAAAAAAGAGTCATCAGTCGGAGATATCGAACTCGCGTTGAAAGGACGCGCGCTTTAATTATTGGTACTAATTGCCGTGGAGATTGCTAGGTTTTCGCTCAGTTGACACAATGGAAACGCGAAGCTAAATGGAATTTCTCTTTTGAATCGAATGGCATTGATTGAAAACATAGGATATGGGTGTGACGTAGTACTCTAGCCATTAGAGCACGTTAACTGGACCTATTGTGCGAACGTGCATCTGCAGGGAATGCACACGAAATGACGCCGCTCCTCCCGCTTCGATGCTGACTATTCTATACATATAAATATCAATACACACATGTATACATACAATGATAAGATGCCAACGACGGTGCCTACACGCGTATCAATAAGCGGCGCGACTTTAACGACTTCATTTTATACTTACGAAATATGCTAAGGATTTTTCGCTAACGCTGACGTAGTATAATCCAATTTGCTTATGGTGAGAGGGTAGAGCCAATTTTTATACAACCGTTCGAACAACCTAACTGTACGAACGATAAAATTGCGAGCCGCGAACGCGTATGCGCGCACGCGTGTATGTGACTCGCCGCTCGCGATTTTTTAGAGGTATCATCCTAACGCATATACGAAAACATACGAGATGGTGCATGAAGAATGTCGTTCTTCCTCGCTTGACAACCTTAGGAAAAAAAAGATAAAAAGGAAAGAACATTTCGAACGTTTCATCCTAGCATTTCTCGTAAACGTTGCTGTAGAGTCATCGTTCCCCGAGAATATTACAGCGATGCGAGGGAGTCTGAGATTTTCTCGCGCCATCTTGTAGAAGAAACAGCATTTTCAAGTAGTTTTATAGAATGACGCTCGAGCACTTTTCATCGACTTGTTCGAACACACTTGATTATCTGCTAATAAGCGATGGATAAAGCGTTCGATTCAAGTCAATGGAAACTGCATCGTTTCTACGTCGATAAGGTCTCTTATAAAGTAATCGTCCCACTATTAACGTGTATACGATGGAAGTAAAATCGTGCAAACATGTATCGTCATTTCATTATGTAATTAAGATTAAGTTAACGCGGCCTGCGGGCGAACAAGTCGCAGGAGGTGCGGTGGAACGATAATATTAGGCTCGAGGACGATCGCTCTCTCGATGATAACGCCGAGAAAATCACTTTTGCGTTAAACTCCGACGTTGGGGTACTCGGCGCTTTCGCGCGTAAGAAGTTTGCTTTTCCCTCCCTTGTTTCCTTTTTTCTTTACTTCCACGCTTCCTTCTTCTCGTCCTTCTTAATGAGCCTTATATTCGTAGCCTTGCCTACTTTATCGCGTGTGTTTACAAGTGTGCAGAGACGTCGGTGCTTGTCCTCGAGCCTGAGGTGCGCGCCTACTCCGTCGTAAGCTTGAAAAGCTCGAGTCTGTTCTGTACCCTGACAAGCGTGCATGTTTCCACTGCTTTTCACTCCTTCCCCTATCTTTTTCCCTCCGCCGTTTCTCTCGATCTCCTTTATCTCACACCCCTTTTGTCCTATTTCTCTCGCTTGGAAGAAATCAGAAAAGCCGACTAAACGATCCTGATTCGCAATTACGCGAGTCACGTACAGAGCTTACCCGACGATCGAGCGTTTTTACATAACACGCGCACCAATCATAATGGCTTATTTATTTTTTACGTTTAACGTATACCGCTCTTCAAGAATACTCGTATCTTGTCACGTTTTATCATTCTGTTTTTTCTCTCTCCCTTCTTTATATTTTTTTTTTTTATTTCTATTCTTTCGCCTTACGCGTCCACGTCTGACACATAGGCTAACCACGTTCTAACGACGTCCCCTTCATTTGGACGCGATGTAGCGTGCAGGCGCGTGCACGCTTGTGTACACGTATAAAGGCAGACAGTATCGAAACGAGCATGCGATTAAACGAATTAATCCGTCCAACGTGGAATTCGATGTGTACGCGCGTTTAATTAATTCCTCGTTATTTTTATCTCTATTCTTTTTTTATACCACAGTATCAAGATGTCACCCTTTGGCTAAACTTCGTATATTTCAGTACCGTAATACACATGTTGTACATAGCATATATGGTACAGAGAAAATAAACTCATTTTATAACGAAATGTTTTGTTGAGTTATTGTAACAATTTATCCCTTGGTTCTTTATCATTTATATAACGTTTAACAATGCGTGATAATATTTCAGATATTTATTCAATATCTCAATAAAAGTGAAACGTTTTTCTTCCCTTACAGAGTATTTTATAAATTTAACAAATGGTATGCATATAAAAAAAAAATTAAATAAGAATGGAATAATATAATAGTAAATATACTAGCAGATCTTGGACGAAACACTCACTTTCTCTCTTCTCTCATTGTGTCTAAGGTATACGTCTGTTAGATGAGCCTTACTGAAGAGTCCATACTATAATAGTAAATATATATATATATCTTCTCTCTTAAAACAACTTTATATAAAAGGAATTGAAGGACTGATCCGAATTTAATAATTCGTGTATGAATTAAACAGATTTAAAGCGAATAATTCTTCTTAAATACCATTCATTTGTTAAATCTTTCGTGCAAAATCTCACACCTCGAATCATTTTCCGCTATTATTGTTTTAAAATTCCTCCTCTCTTGTTCTGAATAGCTTCACAGGACGTGAAACGTGTACCTATTCAAAACCACGACTTAACCGCGCTACTATACGTGAATAGAATTGTACAACCTTTGTTTTTTATATATTATACGCCACTATATCTTGAAAATTACCATTCTTAAGCAGATGAAAATAACGAATAATGATACAAACGGAACGTAATAATAATAAAAATATATTTCACCAGTTATATTACATTACAAAATAAAATACATTTACTGTGAAGAAACTATCAAAATTGTTACACCTATATTTCAGTAAATAACAAGTTTGAAAATGTTATTGTTTTATACTAGGTATAAATATTTTGCGTAAACGTTAGCAGCTTCAATTAAAAATATTCCATTATTTAGAATAAAATGGAAATATCACAAAAATGGTTTTATCAAATTATTGAAATATTTTTTATAGCGCTTCTTCACACCTTTGTTATTACCTTTTGATAAACGATGTTTTCAACTATGGATAAAATTTGTATTGGAACTTTTATAAGTTTAACATTCTGGAGTACAGTTAAGTAACTCTTAATAAAAATAAATAATGAATATTAGAAAAAAAGCAGTTATTTTAAATAAATACATGTATTATCTTTCTACGAGCCTATATATTGTATACAATAAACAGTAATAAAAATCTTGAATTCCATTAAATGTGGAACAGCTTGATATAGTTTCAACGATAACAGCTTCGTATGTTTTTAAAATAGCTCGAGGCTTAATGGATGCTATTAGTTGTAAGAAGTAAGTGGCTGGAAGTTAGTCTTTAGCTTATGTATTAGCAATGACCAGGTTAATCTGAAGACCTGTTAGAAGCTTAAGTAGGTTTCCTGGTAACTTGCTGCTGCGGGACAGTTACATACAAACCATTTGAAGTCACTAGGAACGCTGCATTGAGGATAAGCGGCCATTCAGACGAGGCCTCTGAAACGAATCGTGCATCCCTAACGACAGTAGTTTGGCTCACGTACGTATCAATCAACGTATTATTATGCTAAATGTAACCGTGTCCTGCTTGTAAATGCGCTGAATTTCGAGCAAGACGAGACGCAAAGTTCATCGATTGAAATGCAGGTTCCCAGACGACACGTTAGCAGGGGTCAAGTTATATGAATATTTCACTTATTTATCATTTCTTAAATATGTTAAGTCGGATAGAAAAACGTACAAATATTTCAATGTTTCTATATTTTAGGTACAATAATCTTTTAACTAGAGAAGTATTTTTAATTCGTCTAACTAGAGAACAATTTTGTTTAA